AAATATACACACATATATCACATACACATACATATGTATGTTTGTAATTATATGACAAAACATACAATATGCCAAGTTGCAAAACAGGATGCAACATTTCAACATTCCAAAGTGTACCGCAAAGTGTCTGACATTCTCCAAGTGCCCTTAAACCTGAACACACCTGAAACCCCGACATAAGCATCTTTCTCCAGGCAGCTCCAGGAGGATCCCCAGATGTGCAGCTGCCACAGCGAAAACAGAGCTAAGACCCTTTCTGGGATCACAGGCTTTGCAGAAGGCACATGGGGTCTCCCCAGTACAGCAGTGGGTTCTGAGCAACCACCATGTCATGACACCTCTTCAGTCTCCAAATACCACAGACCTTTGAGATTCACCAACTGGTGAGGGCAGATACTTTCTATCAGTCTTTGCTTTACATGTGCATGTTTTCATGAAAGTAAGATGACTATGCTAGGTCTTGCTGTTTTTTTCCTAAATGAACCATGTAAAAACCTACTGGCATGCAAATCATATTTGATAAGAAAAATAGACATTAGGGGCTAATGTCCACCATTGGGCATACACACCCATCAGCTTTCATGGCAGGTAAGGAGGCAATGGGCCCTGGTGGACCCTGGGCCAACCTCTTCTCTCTCTCACCTCCTGGGTGTCTGTTACAGACATGGGTCTCAAGGGCTTCCAGTATGAGGAGCCTCTTTACAATACCAATATTGCCTCTGATCCACCCCACACCAGCAGTTATGTTTAGAAAGTGATGGCGAAAGGCTACTACGAATTCACCAGTGTCTCTCACAGGTCTTTATTTTCTAAGTCACGGCACTTAGCTGCATTAAGAGTAGTGCGCCTGTGAGTCATGATTCAGCCTGCAAAGGATGCTCAGAACAACACACAGGCCACTGCAATACAGTGAACATTACAATAAACTGAGCTACACGAGGTTTTGGTTTCCCAGTACACGTAAAAGTTATATTTACTTTACACTCTAGTCTATAAAGTGTGCAATAGCATTAGGTTGAAAAAAGTGTACATACTTTAATTGAAAAATACTTTCTTGCTAAAAAATGTTAACCATCATTTGAGCCTTCAGCTCATCATCACAGGAGTAACACCTAAGACCACTGGTCACAGATCACCATAATGAATAGAATAATAATGAAAAAGTCTGAAATATTGTGAGAATTACCAAATGTGACAGAGAGAGGAAGTGAGCAAATGCTGTTGGAAAAAAGGCACCCATAGACTTGCTTAACACAGGGTTGCCACAAACATTTGGTTTGTAAAAAGCACAGTAAATGCAACAAAGTGAGGTCTGCCTGTGAATTCCTCCAGCCTTTGTGGTAATTCTGAAGGGCAGGAGAGAAGCAGAGCTGTGTTGAAGGAGGAGTTGGGGGGTGGTGGTGTGGGCAGGCTGGCTGGGTCTGCTTGCCAGCTGTGTGCTCACCCACTGGCCCTTGGGACCACCTGCTGTAGCCTTGAAGTGGCAGCCCCAAACACAGAGGCAACTTACTGAACACCCCCTTCAAAGTAGAGAGGTGGCCTGATAAAGCAAAATCAGGAAAAAGTTTCTAAGTAGGGCTAGAAGAAACCATCATTGTAGTAGATGGCAGTAAAATAATAAGGGGGAGAGAGAGAAATGACTGAAAATCTTGTGCCCAAAGTTCCAGCCCTGAGCTAGTGAGCAAACTGGTGGATTGGTGTTCCTTTACATGTAGGATGCAGGGACGTTCTGACGGAGGGAACAGCGACAGTCAGAAGTCATACCTCCCCTCACCCCAAGCTTCCAAAAGTAGGAGAAATAAGCAAGTGAGACCAGAGACCTGAGGTCACTTAACATGACCCAAGTCAACATACTGAGGATAAATATACACCTCTGGGGATGATTGGCCACTGGATGTTATTCCAGGTAATGCCACAAACTCTCTTGCTCACTGTTAACTGCTTTTTTTTTTCTTTTAATTTACATATTTGTGTTAGTTGTATGTGCTCAGTAGCATCCAACTCTTCGAGACTCCATGGACTATAGTCCGCCAAGCTCCTCTGTCCATGGACTTTTCCAGGCAAGAATACTGGAGTGGGTTGCCTTTTCCTACTCCAGGGGGTCTTCCCGACCCAGGGATCAAACCTGAGTCTTTGCATTGGCAGGTGGATAGTTTGCCACTGCACCACCTGAGAACCCCACAGAATTGTGTTAGAATATATATATGTATACATACACACACACATATATGTGTGTGCAAGTGTATTATAAATTTTCACAATTTATATATATAAGTATGTGTGTGTATATATATTTTCTTTTGCAGATTCTTTTCTATTACAGGTTATTACAAGATATCGAATATAATTCCCTGTGCTACACAGTAGGTCCTTATTGTTTATCACTTTTATATACAGTAGTGTGTATCTGCTAATCCCAAACTGCTATTTTATTTTATTCCCAAACCCCCATTAACTGAATCATAATCTTTCTTTGAACAGGTATCTAAAAGCTGACATCCATGAAAAGTGTCACAAATGAATGTAAAATGCACATTTTCAGAGGAATACTGGGGATAAAGTTAGTTAATAACAGTAACAGCAGTGACTAATGGTCCTGTATCTTAAGGACCTGTAGCTTAATATCTGCCAGGTGCTGTTCTAAGCACTATGTACAATCAACCATTTATCATCACTCTTCACTGCTATTTTTATCCCCATTCTACAGATGAAGAAACTAGGGCGTTGAAAGGTTCCCAAGGTCACACAGGCGGTTAGTAGCAGAGTCTCCAGATCTCTCTCTTAATCACTATGCCAAGCTTACAAGTGATTAAAAAAACAACATAAAAGTTTTAAGAGATAGAAAGCCTTTGGACAAGATTCTGCACTTTTCACGGCTGCTGTCTCTAAGGTAAATCTATCTTATAAAAACCACAGATTTTGTATGACTTCTCTCCTCATGGCAAGATGGATCTTCACCACTGTAACAGCTCAAATCCAGTTTTATATCCCATTGTTCAGTCACTCAGTCATGCCGACTCTTTGCAACCCATGGACTGCAGCAAGCCAGGCTTCCCTGTCCATCAGCATCTCCTGGAATCTGCTCAAACTCATGTCCATTGAGTTGGTGACGCCATCCAACCATCTCATCCTCTGTAGTCCCCTTCTCCTCTTGCCTTCAATCTTTCCCAGCATCAGGGTCTTTTCCAATGAGCCAGTTCTTCGTATCAGGTGGCCAAAGTATTGGAGCTTCAGCATCAGTCCTTCCAATGAATATTCAGGGTTGATTTCCTTTAGGACTGACTGGTTTGATCTCCATGCAGTCCAAGGGACTCTCAAAAGTCTTCTCCAACACCACAGTTTGAAAGTTTCAATTCTTCTGTGCTCAGCCTTCTTTATATTCCATGCCTGGCAGGTAATGTCTTACTGCCAGGAGAGAAATAATAGGAACCTCTACCTCGACCCTGGGGTAGGGCTCACTCACCTTGTACAGATGCCCCATGAGCCTGCTACACATGCACAATAGTGCCCCAATTGCCATCACTGCCCCTGGGGATCAATCAAACAGATGTGTACTTAGAACTGCTGGTACAAGACACTGCACTGGTGCAGAGAAGGAAAAAAGGAACTCGGGCAACAGGGAAGGTTTGAAATACTTACATAAAAAGTAATTAAAAATCCATGTAGAAGAGACTGGAACACAGAATTGAAGGGGAAAGAGAAACTATATTCACACTGGAATACTTGGCAGTGATAAGGAACAAACTACCAATAACATATCGGTACCTCTCAAACAGCGACAGCCTGCATGATTCCATTTACAGGGCATTATAGAAAAGGCAAAACCATAAGGATAGAAAACACATCAGTGGTTTCCAGGGGTCAGGGATGAGCAATTACAGTGGAGCACATTCCAAGGAGGAAATTTGAATTGGAGGGACGGAAATTTATATTTTGATTATGGTGGTTACAAAACTGAATCTATGTACTTATCAAAATGCACAGCCGTATGCTTCTTTTAAAAGTGAATTTTACTGAATGTAAATTACGCATTGATACATCTGACTTTTTAGAAGCAGCCCAAAGCAATTATGCCAACAAAATTATCTCATGGAATGGGGCTCTTAGGATCTTCTACAAGGTTCTACAGACCGTGTATCCAACTTCCTCTATTAACTCCCACCCCTGATTTCTTCTCATATAATATTTATAGGAAGATGATGAGTAGCTCATTGGTAGGAGAAAAAGCTCCATTAGTCTTACAAAATTTCTTAAAGTAACCTCTGAGTGCTTAGATAATTATGGGAACTCTACTGTACTAAGAATAGACGTGCCTACTGGCCCTTTTTCCTTGTGCTATATACGTGCCTGCTAATCACTTACAAGGCAAGTAAGACTCCAGTGGCTCTGTCTGTGGACACGGATGGCCACTACAAAACCATTACATCACCAGGAAGTCCAGGTCCTCATGTCCATATGGTACCTCTGTTCCATGTTGAACTACACTGGAGGCTGACCAAGGTCACTGCTAAGATCTTTAGGCAAGAGCTAAATCTAAGATAAACTCTGGCTATTGGACTGAAAACTTTACTAAAGCTGGAAAATAAAAAACATCACTGGCATTTTGAACAACACAGACTGCTCTATGACTTGGTCTATATATGGAAACCAAAGACAATGTAAATGACTCTGGTTCTTTCCTTCATTCAACACCCAGCAGATACCTCTTGATTGCCTACATGTGTGAGGCACAAAAGATACATGTGTATCATTGTAAGTCCCTATCTTCATGGAGTTTACATTCTCTTGGGAGGGACAGATGAACTATAAATAAAAGAATGAACATGTAAACCAAGCGATCAATCAATAATAAGCTGAATGTCCATTAGTAAGAGAAGGAAGGAAGGAAGGAAAAGCCGGGTAGGAGGATGGGGGTTTTTCATTTAGATAAAGTGCTTGGGTCTCAGATGGTTGCCTTTGAGCAGAAACCTGAAAGAAGCGGCCAGAACGCTGCTGGGTATATGGCGGGAGAGGTGGTTCAGGAGCGGGAAAGTGTGAAGTTTCAAGTTTTGAATGGGTGCATGGGACAAGCAAGGTGGCCGGTGTGGCCGGAGCAGAGCGAGGGACAGGGGGTTGTCCTGGAAGCCAGCAGGAAATGCAGGACAGGGAAAGCCGAGCACAGATCAGAGAGGCCTGTGCCAGAGAAGGACTTGGGATCTGATTCGGAGCTACGAGAAGCCACTGTAGGGTGTGCAGGAGGGCACGAATGATCTTGATTTAGTTTTAAAGAATCAGTCTAGTGGCTCCAAGGAAAACAGACTTTGCGGGTTAGGTAGACGGGGAAGAGGGAAAGCAGCAGCAGAGGACTTGATAGGAGGCCACCACCACCGAGAAGGCAGAGACAGTCAGCTCTGGATAGGGTGGGGACACAGGCGGAGATGAGAAGGGGCCGAGGGGGCACTGGGTGCAGGATGGCATGGCCCACTAAGCTGGAAGAGGTTAGTTCCATATATAAGAGCTGCTGTCTGATTGGCTAGGAAATGTATAATATGCTGCTTTCAGGGAGTTCAAGATGTGAGTTAAGATACAGAAATGTTAAATTTAACCCAAATAACATTGTACCTTATGACTGCAAAAGCTTTACAATGAGAATAGCTAACTCGGGACCAGTTTGGGTATTAACTTAATCTTGCCAGAGAATCCCCACTGACTAGGTAATTTACTCTATACACAGCTAAGAAATGGATTTGTGTAAGAGACTATATATTCCATTAGTGAACTTTCCAGGGAACAGTGATTTCCAGGGAAGCTAATAAAAACTTCAAAGCTCTCTACAATATAGCACCAAGGCTTTGAAGATCCCCCTTATTTAACCCTTGCTAAAAGAAAAGAATGTCAGCAAAATTGTGGAGTATTGAATATTCCTTACCATGTTTACATTGCAAAAAGGCTTTGTCTGGGGACTTCCCTGGTGGTCCAGTGGTTAAGCCTCTGCATACCCAATGCAGGGAACTGGTCAGGAAACTAGATCCCACATGCCACAAATAAGAGCCTGCACATGGCAATGAAGATCCAGTGCAACCAAATTAATTAACTTTAAAAATATTTGTTTACTTGTTTATTTTTGGCTGTTCTGGGGTCTCATTGCTGTGTGTGGGCTTTCTCTAGTTGTGGAGAGAGGCGGGGGTTGCTCTCCGGTTGGGGTGCTCAGGCTGCTCATCACGGTGGCTCTTCTCTTGTTGCGGAGCTCAGGCGCACGGGTTTCAGTAGTTGCGGCTCCAGGACTCCAGAGCACAGGCTCAGTAACTGCAGCGGACGGGCCTAGTTCTCCGTGGCATATGGGACCTTCCAGGACCAGGGATCAAACCGGTGTCTCTTGCATTGCAAGACGGATTCTTAACCACTGGATCACCAGGAAAGTCCAGTTAATTAACTTTTTAAAAAAGGGCTTTGTCTGTTGGGAAAGAAAAGTCAACTTGTGAGACTCTTTAATTAGCTTACACGTCAAAGCCTTCAACATAAAGGCTGTTTGTTGGCTATAATCCACATTAAAACATTGATCTACTTTACAGATTATTTTCTTCAAGCTGTCCTAAGATTTCTTGAGTTTTATGAAGTTCCACTGAACTTCGAAAGAGGCCAGAAAGAGTACACAAATGCACAGCAGTAGTGTGTCTGATTCCTGTAAGAGTGACAAGCAGAAAGTCATCGAAGCTCAGGACACTGTGCACGTCCCCAGAATCACATGTGTCTCATCCAAGACAAGAGTCGTGCCCAGGATTCAAAGCACAAGGAAAAGCTTACATTGTTTTGGTTGGAATAATTCAGTCTGCTGACATCTACAGTGTCTTCCAGGAAGATATCAACTCCCATATTTTCCATCTTTTCCTCCCTCTTTCCTCCAAGTCAATCTTAAGAGCCAGATGGGGAACCAGATCAAAACACACTGGTGAGTGCCAAGCATGGGAACCGCTGGAGACAACATCCTTTTAATTGATTCCTGTTGGTGAAAAAATGTTTCGATCCAGTTGGAACCATCTACACTTGAAACCATCTTATAAACTTTGTGTGCTTTTGATTTTTGAAAATTTTACTCAAAAGAAATAAGCGCCCCAATGTAACCAAATTCGTCCAAGCTCTCTCTCATCAGCCAAGAGAAAAATCTCCTTTCAGTCACGTTAGGGCTGGGACAGGTGACCTACACAGCTTCCCAGTATCACGTTTTTTTTAAAGTCATATAATGGTTTTCTAGGTGTTTTCCTACTCCTCTGTATCTTAAGAGATACACTTGGATATACTCTTGGAAAGAAAAATTCACTGTTTTGCTCTAAAAGATTAAGAAACCAAATTAAGAATTTCAATCTCTGAATTTAGTGACTTTTCCCACACTATCAGCTATTAAAGACATATTTTTTTTTTTCTGGCTTGTTGCTTTAAGATGTCAAGATGTATTCTGCTTTTCTAATCTAGATGTGAGGTTTCCTTTCACATCACCCCTCATTGTTACACTAACCAGATGTTTCTGCCTTTTTCCAGAAGACAGCAGTATTGAGACTTTACACTCTAGGCTTCTCCCAGGTCATCCGTTCAGATATTTACCTCATTTCTTCCCAATGGTTCCAGACAAATCTTCTTTATTTCCGTGATTTAAAAAATCTCAAAGCTAAAACACACACATGCCTACACAGCGGCAAAACCTGTGCCAAAACTGAATTAGTGCGGTTTTCTCTTTGGACTCATCATATAATGACCTAAAGATGGATTATATCTGGATTCTCAGAGGTCTGTTAAATATTAACCACGATGATGTGAAACGTCCAAAAACTGGGTCTGTCTGAACCTCCATTATTAATCCAGTCTGCCACTATTTCTTGGTGAGATTCTATAATTCATTTTGAAACTGTCACCAACTCACTTGTAAAGCTAATGAAACCTATAATCTCCCTCTCCAGAAATATTCTAAAATGAAACGGTAGCTATCATAGCTGTTCTAGAATAGGGATTAGTGAACTGCAACCCCTGGGCCAGATCTGGTCCACTGTCCATTATTGTCAATAAAATTTTACTGGAACACAGATGTGCTCATTTGCTTCCATATTCTATGTGGCTGTTTTCCTGCCTCAACAGTTGAGTTGAATAGGTGTGACAGAGACAGTATGGCCCCCATAGCCTGAAATATTTACTATCTAGCTCTTCACAGAATAGTCTGCCCATCTCTGCTTTAAAATCAGTGACTCAGAAGACAGTGATTATTATTTCCACTCTGTGTGATTTTGCAAAGTAAAATGATAAAATTAGGTGTGAAAGTGCCAGGATTCAGTAGCAATTAATACTTGTCCCTTTTAGTTGCCAGGCTCCTTCTGGTCCTCTAGTCTCTTTCTCTCTGCTGTATTCTCCTTGCAGAGTTGAAAGTTTACTACTCTTGACACTGGGAATTATTTCAGTATTGGCTATTTCATCATTTCATTATCTACAGACTTCTTTTTCTTCCCATTGAGAAGGTGACTTTCTCTGCAAAGTGCTATATCTTAGTTACCTTTGTTTTCCCATGGCCTGGCACATAGCAAATCCTAGCCAAGATTTTCCTCAAAGAATAAGCGAGTCAAGAAACAGCAAATCTACACTAGAAATATTTGTAACTCTAAGAGTCCATGCAAAGATCATTTATAATAGATAAGTATTACAGTATCAGGTTTCCTAAACTAAATTTCACAAATAATGAGCACTTGTGTGGGGGGGGGGGGGAGGTGTCATGGATTTAAGGTTACAGTTTGCTACATATTACAGTGGTTTTATTGATAAGACAAAGGGCAAGTTAACACTCAAACCATGCATAGGTACAAAGAAGTTCCTAGAACCCAAGAAAGCAAAAATGATTCCTGCTTACACCCAACAACTTAAAAGAAATTAAATCCTCTAACCAAACCTCTTATCTTTGAGTGATAATGTAAAGTATAATATTCTTGGTCTATAAAAAGAGTATAAATTTAAGATTTCTAGTCATAGTGACACACTTTTGCATAAAATAATTTCTTTGGAAAGATGGTTGTTTTGTTTTTTCATGGACTTACATGAAGAGTTTCATTCACTTAAAAAATGAATTATAAAAATGAATTAGGTAGTGAGAGTATAATAGTGAGGAAATAAAGTTCTTGCCCTCACTTTACTGAAACAGATTAGCTTAGAAAGATCTTACAATTCATTTTGACAAGATTCTTCTAGTTATTTGTCTTTCATAAATTTTCCATTGTATTAAATTTCATAAATAACTAAGGGAGTCTCACATCTCCACAGTATAGGCAGGTTTCCATATTGGATTGTTTTCCATCACTGTTGTAACAAATTACTACATACTTGGTGGCTTAAAATAACTTTATTATCTTACAGCCCTAGAGGTTAGAAGTCTGAATTGGGTCTCAGTGGCCTAAAAATTGACATGTCAGCATGGCTGCATCCCCTCTGGCAGCTTCAGGGGCGAATCTATTTCCTGGCCTTTTCAGCTTCTAGAGGCACCTACCTTCCTTGATCTGTGGCCCATCCTCCAGAGACTTTATCCCATGGCATCACTCTTACACTGACTCTCCTACATCTCCTTCACGTCAGAGGATTACACTGACTCTCCTGCATCTCCTTCACGTCAGAGGACCCTTGTGATTACGTAGGACCCACCTGGACCATCAGGATAACCTCCCCATTTCAAAGCCAGATAAGACCTTCCTATTTGCCATGTAACCTAGCATATCCATAGCCTCTGTGAATTAGAATGTGAACCATGATTCTTCGGGGAGTCATGATTCTTCCTACCACACATAACTTTGTAGCGATCAGTTCAATAAGCCCAGGTCACATCCATGACCCAGAGTAGAACCTGAAACACCAGGACCCCTAGAAACTAGCCACTACTCCTATCCGTGCAGTCCCCTGATGCCTCCCAGGGGCACACCACCTCCGTTCCCCAACCAGTCCCACCATGGTTGCCATTTCCTAGTCATCAAACCATGTTCTATTCATGCCCTCAACTCTTCCAAGAATAGAACTAATTTTTCCTCCACTTGTTCCCCCTCCACAGATGAATGGAAAACCATGCCTTTTCCTCCATCCTTCTATTCTCATGATGGATAAAACGGCCCTGCCCTAGTGTTACACAAAGATTTGTTAAAGATTTATTCATCTACATCCTGTTGTGTTACTCCCCGTGTTACAGAAACACACATATCATCAGTCAACGTTCAAATAATAAGGGTAGGCGTGTGTGTGTATGTGTGATATA